TTGCTCTGCAGAAGCGTGAGGTCCGTCTTCAGTCGGTGTGTGTGTGTGTGTGTGTGTGTGTGTGTCTCGGGCCCCTGTGGGTTCAGGTCACGTCCCCCAGCGCCGGCGTCTCGGCTCACACATGTGACCCGCAGAACCTGAACACACAACATCTGATTTATGAAGCGCGCACCAGAACACACTGATGTGGAGCTCAAGCGCGCGCGCCCGCGTGTGTGTGTTTCCCGCGCGCTGATAAACGGGGGGAACGATTGGACCGTATTACATAAACACTATTCCTAACGGTTCTGCTGTTGTGTTTCGTTTGGCTCGTGTATTACAGCAATACTTACACTCTTAATAAAGTTACACATCATCATTACAGGTCACGTTCTGTGGCGTTCTCTGACAAACCCGAGAACTGCTTAAACATGTTCATCCTCAGTATTCTTCTCCTCAGTGAGGCCAGAAAAATAATCCTAATTCAAAGTGAAAAGTGTATTTTTCTGACTTCATTGGCAGATTTTGTGTTTTAACACAAACTCACTTCATTTTTCAGTCTTAATGTCTTCAGTCATGTTGCTTCTTCTCCAGTAAATGTCTCTTGATTTAAGAATGTTTAGATATGTGTGTTGGACACGAGACAGAAACACTGAGGAAGAACATTAAGTAAAGGTTCTCAAAGTTACGTTCTTCCAGTAACATTAAAGGGTTAGTTCACCTCAAAATAAAAATGTCCTGATAATTCACTCACCTCAATGTCATCCGAGATGTTCATGTCTTTCTTTCTTCAGTGGAAAAGAAATTAAGTTTTTTGAGGAGAACATTTCAGGGTTTTCCTCCACACAATGGCCTACGACGGTAACCAACATGTTGAAGTCCAAATCAATGCAGTTTCAAAGGGCTCTGCACGATCCCAGCTGAGGAACAGGGTCTTATCTAGCGAAACCATCACTCATTTTCTAAAAAAATAAATAAACATGTATATACTTTTTAACCACAATTGTTCGTCTTGTGCTGGTCTGACGCGCCAGGCATTACGTAATGACGTTGGAAAGGTCACGCTGGACGTAGGCGGAAGTACCGCCCCATTGTTTTAAACATCCAGGATACGCACACGAAAGGACCATTTTAAACAATAAACTGACACAAAGACATAAATATGTCATTCAACATACAATACAATTTGAACGATCCTCCTCCTCCACGCTTGTAAACAATGGGGCGGTGCTTCCGCCTACGTCCAGCGTGACCTTTCCCACGTGATGACGTAATGCCTGGCGCGTCACAGCGAGATGACTAGTCCAGCCAACAAAAATTGCAATTTTGCAAACATTTCATCATTAAGTTATAAAAAAAGTTGTTTATAATGTTCTCTGAAATATCCAAAATGTTCTAAAAACGTTTTTGTTTTGTTATGGGAACATTAAAGGAACATCCAATCTTGGGAACGTTACTTTGGAATGTTAATTTAATGACGAACATCAAACTGAATTTTTCAGAAATAACGTTTTTGTTCTAATGTTTTGAGAACATTATTAAATAACCTCGAATGAAGGTTTAGTGGAAGAACGCTTGTTCATAACTTCGAGAGAGCGTTCTCTGTGAGTGTGTTTGTGAGATGATATTGATGAATGATTTAACACTCGAGGGAAACGTCACATTAAACTTCACAAAGTTGAGATTTACTTGCGACGGCGTTCTCGTCTGCGGTTCGGGGAAAGTGGATCGTCACCTGCTTTCTCTTGCACAACTATTTTAATAATTCTTCAGACAGTAGAACGTTCCCAGTTCTTGCATATTGTTCCCAGGGGAGCGTCGCACATTTGTAAAACAAATAGTTGAGATTTGCGGCATCCATCACGGCGCTCGGCCCTGGGAACGCAGACCCGTGAACGCTCAGGCCAAACACATCATCAGAGGAGAGTTATGATTCTGCAAACATACATGTGAAAGTGGCCCGTGGGTTTCTGTGGAATTTCCTGCTCGCCGCTCTGAGGTCACGTTTTCACAACCAATTAGCAATAAAGTCAGACTTTCTTAAACGTCTCCAAAAAGTCTAATTGGAAACATATAAAGTCTGTGAGAAATGCCTCTGCTCGTCTCGATCTGGTCACGTGACGAGCGTTCCTGCAACATGGGAACACAATCAGGGTTTGGTGAAGCATGATTATTATGTAAAAATGACATTCTAAGTCATAATTATGTGATCAAATGTCGAAGTTGATACTTAAAAAGTTTAAACTGACAAAGTTGAATTATGGCCATAATTATGACATTTTTGATGATCTCATGATTTTGATTTCGTTTAAAAAATTCATCTTTCTAACCTCATAATTTTGATTTAGCATGTCAAAATTACCACGATCTCATATCATTAACTTTTTGTCATAATTGTGACTTTCACATCATTTCTATTTAGTGTGTCATAAAATTTGACAATAATCTCATAAATTTGATTTAGTATGTCATAAAATTTCACTTTTTAATCTCATAATTTTGATTTAGTGTGTAATAAAATGTTTACTACTTGTCAATTTCAACTTTCTAATCTCATAATTATGATCTATCACAATTTTGACTTTCTCCTAATTTCTATTTAGTGTGTCATAAAAAATTCAACTTTCCAATCTCATCATTTTGATTTAGTATGTGATAAAATGTCGACTTTTTGTCATTTGATATATCATAATTTCGACTTCCTCATAATTGTTCAAATTTCTAATCTTTTATGATTTACATGTACTGTAGTATGTCTCAAAATGTCAACTTTCTAATCTCATAATTTTGATTTAGTATGTCATAAAATTTTAACTTTTCGATCTCATAATTTAGTTTTTTTTGTCATTTGATATATTTATCACAATTTCGACTTTATATGTCACAAACTTTCGACTTTATTATCTCATAATTTTGATTTAGTATGTCATAAAATTTTTACTTTTCGATCTCATAATTTAGTTTTTTTTGTCATTTGATATATTTATCACAATTTCGACTTTATATGTCACAAACTTTCGACTTTATTATCTCATAATTTTGATTTAGTATGTCATAAAATTTTTACTTTTCGATCTCATAATAGTTATCTCATAATAGTTTATATGTCATAAAATTTCGACTTTATCTCACAATTTTGATTTAGTAGGCGTATGTACCGGTAATTAAGTCTCGACTTTTTGTCATTTGATATATTATCATAATTTCGACTTTCTCATAAAATGTCATCTTTCTAATCTCATAATTTTGACTTAGTATGTCATAAATTTGTATAACTTTTTGTCAATTTTGATTTCATGAATTTTGATTATTTTTTGTCATAATTTCAACTTTCTAATAATTGTTCAACTTTCTAATCTTTTATGATTTACATGTACTGTAGTATGTCTCAAAATTTCAACTTTCGAATCTCATAATTTTGATTTAGTATGTCATAAAATTTTAACTTTTCGATCTCATGATTTAGTTTTTTTTTGTCATTTGATATATTTATCATAATTTCGACTTTATATGTCATAAAATTTCTACCTTATCTCACAATTTTGATTTAGTAGGCGTATGTACCGGTAATTAAGTCTTGACTTTTTGTCATTTGATATATTATCATAATTTCGACTTTCTCATAAAATGTCATCTTTCTAATCTCATAATTTTGATTTAGTATGTCATAAATTTGTATAACTTTTTGTCAATTTTGATTTTATGAATTTTGATTATTTTTTGTCAATTTCAACTTTCTAATAATTGTTCAACTTTCTAATCTTTTATGATTTAGATGTACTGTAGTATGTCTCAAAATTTCAACTTTCTAATCTCATAATTTTGTATTTAGTATGTCATAAATTTGTATAACTTTTTGTCAATTTTGATTTCATGAATTTCGATAATTTTTGTCATAATTTCAACTTTTTAATCCTACAATTATGATTTAGTATGTCATCATTGTAATAATTTCAATTTCTTAATCCTATAATTATGATTTAGTATGCCATAATTTTGACTTTTAATGTGCTTTATGATCTACCAAAGCATGATTTCTTTCTGATGTGTCAGAAAAGTGCTTCATATTAATGAGAAAGGTCTGTGAAAGCAGCAGCAGCGTCTCGGAGGGGTCGTACAGTAGGAGGAACATCATCAGCGTCAAACACTGTTTTCAGCGGCTCAGGGTTCTGCCCCAAACATCACACGAGTTCACCAGTTCAGGGAAAACCATCAGGACTGCCATGTCAAACTGGGCTATCATGAGCGCATTAGAATAACACGCTGGTGGAGAGATGTGCTGGGGCCGAGAGACCACATGAAAGCACTTACTCTGTCAGCAGCCGCATGTTATTCTTACATGTTAAGAGGAACACTTACAATAATATTAGTTCATAAATGCTGTAATAAGCTTATTATGCCTCAGAAATGAACAGAGATTGTTCAACACAAACACATTTATGGCTCATTCTCAGAAAACCTCCCATTGATTAGATTGATGTCTCGACTAATAGTTTACATTTCTTTCTCTGGTTAGTGTGCAAGAAAAGTGATTGCATTTCATTTTATATCTCGTCAAAATAAACTTTGCTTGCTTTCAATTATTTACTGTCTATTTATTTTTCCCCTAAAATGCTTTATTTTCTGTTAATAATGCAAATATGAAAGTGTGACTTTTTTTAGACCACATGTTTCAAACAGAAGGTTTTTAATCTCAAAAATTCAAACTAGTTATAGGGACAGATTCATAAAACAATAGCATGATTTGCATAACATTAAACCTTATGAACATAACATTCATAATCAAAAACATTTCTCTGAAGTTTGCTGCAAACCATTTTATCAATGATAAAAGAATCACTGACTGTTGACACTAGAATTTATTCAGTCATCAATTCACTTTATTGGCGCTGTACTTTGAGCCAGAGAAAATATTTTTCACATATTTTTGACATGAAAACGATCCCTTATGCTGCAGATTTCAACATTAGGTAGTCTCGATCAGCACAGCGAGAAACTCAAGACGACAGAATAGGAAAAAGACCAGAAAATATTTATTTCATCCGAGATTCACACATCTAGTACAAAACACACAGACAAACTATAAATAAAGTCCCATATAAAGCCCTGATGAAGGTCTGAGGTGTTAATAAACCTGGAGTGATTTGTTAAGAAACAGCGCCACCTGCTGAAAATGAAATCACACACATTTTGATTGAATCTGTGCAAAACGTCATGAAATATGTTCTAAAAATGAAGTGAACAAAATCAGCATGTCCTCTAACAGTCTTGCCTGATGAATAGTTTATTGATGAGCATGATGCGTGTCACGTGCTCCTGCCGCTCATGGCCTGCTGGATCTGCCGGTCGAGCTCGGAGATGATGCGGTCGTCGTGTGTGTAAACGCCGGTGCGCAGGAGTGTGTCTCTCTCCTCCAGCAGACGCGTCACGTGCTCGTCCACGCTCACACACACACGCGTCACGTGCTCGTCTGCGCTCTCGCTCACACACACGCGGGCCGCCTCCTCCTGCTGCTTCAGCCTATCAGTCGATCAATGATACACACTCATGTCAATAACACAGTTTAATGGCAGATACTGAGACAGGCACAGAAACTGATGAAGACAAAACCATTATTATTCATTGACAGCAAAAGCAAGGCTGATATATCGATCTCTCTCCGCTATTAAAGGGATAGTTCACCCAAAAATGGAAAATTAGACCATGATTTACTCACCCTGAAGCCATCCTAGGTGGATATGACACTCTTCTATCAGACAAACACAATCAGAGTTATAAAAAAATGTCTTGGCTCTTCCAAGCTTTATAATGGCAGTGAATGGCTGTTTCTGTTTTGAAGTCCATAAAAGTGCATCTATCCATCATAAAAGTGCATCTATCCATCATAAAAGTGCATCTGTCCATCATAAAAGTGCATCTATCCATCATAAAAGTGCATCTATCCATCATAAAAGTGCATCTGTCCATCATAAAAGTGCATTTGTCCATCATAAAAGTGCATCTATCCATCATAAAAGTGCATCTGTCCATCATAAAAGTGCATCTGTCCATCATAAAAGTGCATCTGTCCATCATAAAAGTGCATCTGTCCATCATAAAAGTGCATCTGTCCATCATAAAAGTGCATCTATCCATCATAAAAGTGCATCTGTCCATCATAAAAGTGCATCTGTCCATCATAAAAGTGCATCTGTCCATCATAAAAGTGCATCTGTCCATCATAAAAGTGCATCTATCCATCATAAAAGTGCATCTATCCATGATTAAAGTGCATCTGTCCATCATAAAAGTGCATCTGTCCATCATAAAAGTGCATCTGTCCATCATAAAAGTGCATCTGTCCATCATAAAAGTGCATCTATCCATCATAAAAGTGCATCTATCCATGATTAAAGTGCATCTGTCCATCATAAAAGTGCATCTGTCCATCCTAAAAGTGCATCTGTCCATCATAAAAGTGCATCTGTCCATCATAAAAGTGCATCTGTCCATCATAAAAGTGCATCTATCCATCATAAAAGTGCATCTATCCATCATAAAAGTGCATCTGTCCATCATAAAAGTGCATCTGTCCATCATAAAAGTGCATCTATCCATCATAAAAGTGCATCTATCCATGATTAAAGTGCATCTATCCATCATAAAAGTGCATCTATCCATCATAAAGGTGCATCTATCCATCATAAAAGTGCATCTATCCATCATAAAAGTGCATCTATCCATCATAAAAGTGCATCTGTCCATCATAAAAGTGCATCTATCCATCATAAAAGTGCATCTGTCCATCATAAAAGTGCATCTGTCCATCATAAAAGTGCATCTATCCATCATAAAAGTGCATCTATCCATGATTAAAGTGCATCTATCCATCATAAAAGTGCATCTATCCATCATAAAAGTGCATCTGTCCATCATAAAAGTGCATCTATCCATCATAAAAGTGCATCTATCCATCATAAAAGTGCATCTATCCATCATAAAAGTGCATCTGTCCATCATAAAAGTGCATCTATCCATCATAAAAGTGCATCTGTCCATCATAAAAGTGCATCTGTCCATCATAAAAGTGCATCTATCCATGATTAAAGTGCATCTGTCCATCATAAAAGTGCATCTATCCATCATAAAAGTGCATCTGTCCATCATAAAAGTGCATCTGTCCATCATAAAAGTGCATCTGTCCATCATAAAAGTGCATCTATCCATGATTAAAGTGCATCTGTCCATCATAAAAGTGCATCTGTCCATCATAAAAGTGCATCAGTGCATCTGTCCATCATAAAAGTGCATCTGTGCATCTGTCCATCATAAAAGTGCATCTGTCCATCATAAAAGTGCATCTATCCATCATAAAAGTGCATCTGTCCATCATAAAAGTGCATCTATCCATCATAAAAGTGCATCTATCCATGATTAAAGTGCATCTATCCATCATAAAAGTGCATCTGTCCATCATAAAAGTGCATCTATCCATCATAAAAGTGCATCTATCCATCATAAAAGTGCATCTATCCATCATAAAAGTGCATCTGTCCATCATAAAAGTGCATCTATCCATCATAAAAGTGCATCTATCCATCATAAAAGTGCATCTGTCCATCATAAAAGTGCATCTGTCCATCATAAAAGTGCATCTATCCATCATAAAAGTGCATCTGTCCATCATAAAAGTGCATCTGTCCATCATAAAAGTGCATCTATCCATCATAAAAGTGCATCTGTCCATCATAAAAGTGCATCTGTCCATCATAAAAGTGCATCTATCCACCATAAAAGTGCATCTGTCCATCATAAAAGTGCATCTGTCCATCATAAAAGTGCATCAGTCCATCATAAAAGTGCATCTATCCATCATAAAAGTGCATCTATCCATCATAAAAGTGCATCTGTCCATCATAAAAGTGCATCTATCCATCATAAAAGTGCATCTATTAATCATAAAAGTGCATCTGTCCATCATAAAAGTGCATCTGTCCATCATAAAAGTGCATCTGTCCATCATAAAAGTCCATCTATCCATCATAAAAGTGCATCTATCCATCATAAAAGTGCATCTATTAATCATAAAAGTGCATCTATCCATCATAAAAGTCCATCTATCCATCATAAAAGTGCATCTATCCATCATAAAAGTCCATCTATCCATCATAAAAGTGCATCTGTCCATAATAAAAGTGCATCTATCCATCATAAAAGTGCATCTGTCCATCGTAAAAGTGCATCTATCCATCATAAAAGTGCATCTGTCCATCATAAAAGTGCATCTGTCCATCATAAAAGTGCATCTATCCATGATTAAAGTGCATCTGTCCATCATAAAAGTGCATCTATCCATCATAAAAGTGCATCTGTCCATCATAAAAGTGCATCTGTCCATCATAAAAGTGCATCTATCCATCATAAAAGTGCATCTATCCATCATAAAAGTGCATCTGTCCATCATAAAAGTGCATCTATCCATCATAAAAGTGCATCTATTAATCATAAAAGTGCATCTATCCATCATAAAAGTGCATCTGTCCATCATAAAAGTGCATCTGTCCATCATAAAAGTCCATCTATCCATCATAAAAGTGCATCTGTCCATCATAAAAGTGCATCTATCCATCATAAAAGTGCATCTATTAATCATAAAAGTGCATCTATCCATCATAAAAGTCCATCTATCCATCATAAAAGTGCATCTATCCATCATAAAAGTGCATCTATCCATCATAAAAGTGCATCTATCCATCATAAAAGTGCATCTATCCATCATAAAAGTGCATCTGTCCATAATAAAAGTGCATCTATCCATCATAAAAGTGCATCTATCCATAATAAAAGTGCTAAAATACATTTAAAAAAAAAATACATAACCGATTGTATTTGTCTGAAAGAAGAATGACGTGTATTATGTTTATTATTTCTCTAGGATGGCTTGAGGGTGAGTAAATCATGGGCTAATTTTCATTTTTGGGTGAACTATCCCTTTAAAGTCATTCGACACAGAATTAATGTATTGTGAAGTATTTCCATGTGAAACTGCTATTAAATCTTTTCTCTGATGATGTGGGCGGGGCAACCTGTCACTCACATGAGATCAGCCAATAGCAAACCACAACCATCCAATCAATTCCTCACAGACACAGTCAAGCCCCGCCCACATGTGTTCCTGTTCCTGAAGTGTTTCACTCGATATACGACACAACAGAGGAGAGAAGACTTCAGTGTCATGATGACTTTAACCCTTTCATGCATGAATTATGATAACCTCAGACAGGATGTTTTTTCCTGTGTGTTTATTGCTCTCAGGGCATGAAAAACAAGATTTGAAATGTAATTTGTTTTTACACATATTTTTCAAAGAGATTTTCAGATGTCCACTTTAATGGACAGCATGAAGAGATACTGTATTAAAATAATACAGTTATAACACAGCAATATTGTGTGTATTTAACAAACCAATCAATAAAATGATATAAAATCATGCAAAATTTATATTTTTTGTAAATATTTTAAAGGCAATTGAACTTCATACAAGTTGACCTTGGCGTATCTTTGATATGAGGACGAGATTCAGAGATCTCTCGAGGCTCAACTGTGATCAAAACTCATGCAAACGCAAGAAAAGGCTTCGTGAATACATGTCCACTAGTGACCTCGAAGCATGAAAGGGTTAATACATATATGAATTATCACAATTTATGCTTTTGTTCAACATTAAACATCTGAATATCAAGTTGGCTTGTTGGAAGATCGATGCGTCGTTTTTCACTTCAATAATTCTGATGTAACTCAGGCCCCATCCACACTACTGCACTTTAGTTTAGAAGCGGAGAGACTAAACCGGCAGAAACCAAGACCTAAAACAGAGAAGTTTAGAGACGCTGCGACCCCGTTTCGCGTTTTGAATCTCCGGAGGGCGTTTTAGTGAAGACAGAGGACTTTAGAAACGATGATGCGGAGGCTCTCTGATTGGATGTCATCAGTCATGGCGTATCCTTCCCTGATTCGTCAGCCACCCATCACATGACCCGTCCCCGGAAGAACACATACAACAACAGCCTGGACTACCAGTTACGCTAGTGACTGCAACATGGATAACGCATTACAAGCGCTACTGACTTTGATGTCTTTGCTAGCAGATGTTGTGAAAGTAAATTCTGCATTTGACAACGCTGTAACCGCCGACATGCGCCGGAGGCAAGCTCTTATTCGAGCGATCTGTGACCCGTGCAGCGGCGGTATCGACCGTACATGAGGCGGCGCTGTGTGCAGAGGTAACTTAGCCACTTTCTTCTTCGTCAAATCTGAGGAATAGAGAGCCTAAGCCCCTCCCCTCCGCTTCCGGACCTTATTTGGGAAAAAATATGTATGGTAGTCAATGGCGAGAGACAACTTAGCTATTTACTCCGTCTGAACTGTGCCCTGAATTACACATATGATGTTTGTCAATTTAAATGATAATTCTGAAAGTCAAGAAAGTCGTAGTTTGTCATAAAACAGAAGAGTAACATTTAGTTTTATGTGAAAATCGCTCAATGAACTACATCTCCCGGGAAGCGAAACACCGAGCGAGATCCGCTGCTCGTGTGTGTGCAGTCTGGTACAAAACACTCGATGACGGCGTAACGCTACGATTATAACGCAAAGACTATAGAAACAATGACAGACGTTAGCTTCAGTAAAGTCAGCGTCAGTAAAGTTAGCTTCAGTAAAGTTAGCTTCAGTAAAGTTAGCTTCAGTAAAGTCAGCGTCAGTAAAGTCAGCGTCAGTAAAGTTAGCTTCAGTAAAGTTAGCTTCAGTAAAGTTAGCTTCAGTAAAGTCAGCGTCAGTAAAGTTAACGTCAGTAACGTTAGCTTCAGTAAAGTTAGCTTCAGTAAAGTCAGCTTCAGTAAAGTCAGCTTCAGTAAAGCTAGCTTCAGTAAAGCTAGCTTCAGTAAAGTTAGCTTCAGTAAAGTCAGCGTCAGTAAAGTTAACGTCAGTAACGTTAGCTTCAGTAAAGTTAGCTTCAGTAAAGTTAGCTTCAGTAAAGTTAGCTAGCTTCAGTAAAGTTAGCGTCAGTAAAGTCAGCGTCAGTAAAGTTAGCTTCAGTAAAGTTAGCTTCAGTAAAGTTAGCTTCAGTAAAGTCAGCGTCAGTAAAGTTAACGTCAGTAACGTTAGCTTCAGTAAAGTTAGCTTCAGTAAAGTCAGCTTCAGTAAAGTTAGCTTCAGTAAAGCTAGCTTCAGTAAAGTTAGCGTCAGTAAAGTCAGCTTCAGTAAAGTTAGCGTCAGTAAAGTCAGCTTCAGTAAAGTTAGCGTCAGTAAAGTCAGCTTCAGTAAAGTTAGCTAGCTTCAGTAAAGTTAGCGTCAGTAAAGTCAAGCGTCAGTAAAGTTAGCTTCAGTAAAGTTAGCTTCAGTAAAGTCAGCGTCAGTAAAGTTAACGTCAGTAACGTTAGCTTCAGTAAAGTTAGCTTCAGTAAAGTTAGCTTCAGTAAAGTCAGCGTCAGTAAAGTTAGCGTCAGTAAAGTTAGCGTCAGTAAAGTCAGCGTCAGTAAAGTCAGCTTCAGTAAAGTCAGCTTCAGTAAAGTTAGCATCAGTAAAGTTAGCTTCAGTAAAGTCAGCGTCAGTAAAGTTAGCGTCAGTAAAGTTAGCTTCAGTAAAGTCAGCTTCAGTAAAGTTAGCTTCAGTAAAGTCAGCTTCAGTAAAGTTAGCTTCAGTAAAGTTAGCTTCAGTAAAGTCAGCGTCAGTAAAGTCAGCGTCAGTAAAGTCAGCGTCAGTAAAGTCAGCGTCAGTAAAGTTAGCGTCAGTAAAGTTAGCTTCAGTAAAGTCAGCTTCAGTAAAGTCAGCTTCAGTAAAGTCAGCTTCAGTAAAGTCAGCGTCAGTAAAGTTAGCGTCAGTAAAGTTAGCTTCAGTAAATTTAGCTTCAGTAAAGTTAGCTTCAGTAAAGTTAGCTTCAGTAAAGTTAGCTTCAGTAAAGTCAGCTTCAGTAAAGTCAGCTTCAGTAAAGTCAGCTTCAGTAAAGTTAGCGTCAGTAAAGTCAGCTTCAGTAAAGTTAGCGTCAGTAAAGTCAGCGTCAGTAAAGTCAGCTTCAGTAAAGTCAGCGTCAGTAAAGTTAGCGTCAGTAAAGTCAGCTTCAGTAAAGTCAGCTTCAGTAAAGTCAGCTTCAGTAAAGTTAGCGTCAGTAAAGTTAGCTTCAGTAAAGTTAGCGTCAGTAAAGTCAGCTTCAGTAAAGTCAGCTTCAGTAAAGTTAGCTTCAGTAAAGTCAGCTTCAGTAAAGTTAACTTCAGTAAAGTTAGCTTCAGTAAAGTTAGCTTCAGTAAAGTTAGCTTCAGTAAAGTTAGCGTCAGTAAAGTCAGCGTCAGTAAAGTTAGCTTCAGTAAAGTTAGCTTCAGTAAAGTTAGCTTCAGTAAAGTCAGCTTCAGTAAAGTCAGCTTCAGTAAAGTCAGCTTCAGTAAAGTCAGCTTCAGTAAAGTCAGCTTCAGTAAAGTCAGCTTCAGTAAAGTTAGCGTCAGTAAAGTTAGCGTCAGTAAAGTCAGCTTCAGTAAAGTTAGCTTCAGTAAAGTCAGCGTCAGTAAAGTTAGCGTCAGTAAAGTCAGCTTCAGTAAAGTCAGCTTCAGTAAAGTCAGCTTCAGTAAAGTTAGCGTCAGTAAAGTTAGCGTCAGTAAAGTCAGCTTCAGTAAAGTCAGCTTCAGTAAAGTTAGCTTCAGTAAAGTCAGCTTCAGTAAAGTCAGCTTCAGTAAAGTCAGCTTCAGTAAAGTTAGCGTCAGTAAAGTCAGCTTCAGTAAAGTCAGCTTCAGTAAAGTCAGCTTCAGTAAAGTTAGCTTCAGTAAAGTCAGCTTCAGTAAAGTTAACTTCAGTAAAGTTAGCTTCAGTAAAGTTAGCTTCAGTAAAGTCAGCTTCAGTAAAGTCAGCTTCAGTAAAGTTAGCTTCAGTAAAGTTAGCTTCAGTAAAGTTAGCTTCAGTAAAGTCAGCTTCAGTAAAGTCAGCTTCAGTAAAGTTAGCTTCAGTAACGTTAGCTTCAGTAAAGTCAGCTTCAGTAAAGTTAGCTTCAGTAAAGTTAGCTTCAGGAAAGTTAGATTCAGTAAAGTTAGCTTCAGTAAAGTTAGCTTCAGTAAAGTTAGCGTCAGTAAAGTTAGCTTCAGTAAAGTTAGCTTCAGTAAAGTTAGCTTCAGTTTTACAGTTTTACATCAAACTGCGACTTTCTTGACTTTAAAATGTTGACAAACAGCATATGTGTAATTCAGGGCACAATTCAAACGAGATCAAAATATTTGTCATCTCTCGCCATTGACTACCATACAATATTTTTCCGAATTAAGGTCCCATGGTGGTGGACCAGAAGGGGAGGGGCTTAGGCTCTCTATAGTCCATCTGTGCCGGTTTACACCGGCGCGCGCATGCCCAGTGTTGGTGAATGGTCACGTGATCCGCGTTTTCAGTCGTTTTAATGTGGACGGAGATCAAGTCTAATACGCAGCTAAAACGCTGGTGTGGACGGAGATCGTATTCGTTTTAATTCTCCGTTTCTAAACTGAAACGCAGTAGTGTGGGCCTTAGTAGTAGAAACACTACACACACACTAACAGTCAAAAGTTTTGAATCGGTGAGATTTTTAATGTTTCTAAAGTCTCTCACCAAGGCTGCGTTTATTTGATTAAAAATACAAAAAAAACAGTAAAATAGTGAAATCTTATTACAATTTAAAACAGCTGTTTTCTATGTGAATATATAGTAAAGTGTAATGTATTCCTGTGATTGCGCTTGTTACCTGTTGAGCTGGTTGCGTATGTCCTGAAGCTCGTGCTTGTCGCTCGTGACGGCCTCCTTCTCTTCGGACGCCAGGTACCGAAGCCTCATGTGCTCCAGCTCCTGCTGCTGCTTCTTCAGGCGTGTCATGGCGTTCTCCTGCTCACGCTGAACACACACACACACACACAGTCAACAACGGCACGATAACGACACAGAAACACTTTCAGAGCAACTTTTTCCAGCTGACGAGCGATAAAATCATTGACAGCCAATCAGAATCCATCCTGCGTTAAAGAGCTGGAGCATTTAAACTCCAGTACGGGACTTGCTACTTCCAATACATAGACGACAGGCTGCTGTGAACGAGACATGTGCTGTCCGGTCTAGCGCACATGAATGAGCCGCAGCAGATCTACAGCGGTGAGCTGGGGAAGAGGAGGGTTCCTGAACGCTTGCTGACACTGCTATAGCAAACGCTGACCAGTTCAGGTTGAGCTCATTGGCTACCGATACAGCAGGAACCAATCAGCTGTGGCCTATAAGCTTTTGCACCGCGCAGTTCTAGGAACGAGCCAGTGTGGTTCCCCGAGAACTGATGGTTCCCTCAGGAGCGTGCTCCTGGTTGCGTTCGCAGCGCCTGTAGTCAGGGCCGGCCCGTGGCATAGGCAGTATAGGCAAATGCTAAGGGCGCAAGCGCCTTAAACCCTAGGGGGGGCACCAGAGCCGCGTAAGGAACTTTCCGCTGTTATTGTACTTCATTAACACTGCAACGAGTGGAGCAATTACATAAGCCTGCCAGTGGCGCAAAAAGTGGGTATACCGCCGAGTAGGCGCCCTCGATCATAAGATTTCATTATAGAATTTTGACAGGGGACCCCCCTCCAATAATATCGCGAGCGGGCGCGATATTATTGAGCGAAGCGAACAGGCACGAGTAGTGAGTTCGCTGAGCGAACAGGCACGAGTAGTGAGTTGTCGTCGAAAAAGATAGATAAAGCAAAAAAGCGGCCGGGGGCTAAAATAGAAATAGCCCATTCGTTTTGTTTTGCTTAATCGGCGGCGCTGGGTTAGTGCTGGTGTAATGCATTGGTAAAAAAAAAGCTTTTTTTCTGACACCGCATGAAACGCGTAGATCAGCGGCCCATTGGTTGTTTTCTTGATTGACACTGGGCTGGCCCAATCACATCTTTAATGTGAAGTACAGAAAAATACTCTTTATATTAGTATAGAATTAGTATTAGTATTAGTACAAAACTGAAAGTTTCCTTTATTTTTCAGTGCATTGGTTTACAATGAGTATTATCATGGGATAAATATTATAACTATTATTATGTAATGTAGACAGACACTAACTAAAAGAGGTTTGAATTTTTCTTTGTTTAATTTGAACACTGAATATGGGTTGGAGCTTTTAATTTTGAACTCTCAAAGTGCACCAGATTGATGAATTTAACATTAAAATGCACAAAATTTTCTTACGGGGGAGCATGCCCCCGAACCCCCCTAGCCTTGTAGCAGCCTAATGGATTAGTAATAATAGTAGTGGTGGTAGTAATTGTAATTTATCTACTACAAGTTACATGGTCAGATAATATGTATTTAAACAATGCAACTATGTAGGATGATTAAAATATCCTTGAACGTTCTTTTTTAGCATTTGTATAAACAATTTATTACAGTTCAAGTCATAATTTGCTTGTTGAAGTTTTGGAGTGACTGTAAGAGCATTTTTGTTTAGTTAAATAAATACTCATTATTTTTAAAGGGGGGGGGGGGGGGGGGGGGGGGGGGGGGCGCAAAAATCAATCTCGCCTAGGGCAACCAAAGGGCTAGAGCCGGCCCTGCCTGTAGTGACGTGAGATGCGTGTTGTTGAGACTTTTATTTTGACGGCGCTGAGAACGCCTGAGCTCACAGCGCTCACGTTCTCCTGTTCATTAGTGTACGATCTGTCTAACAGTGCTGACTAACACGTTATTATATAGAACTGTTATACATAAAGGTAGACAGTGATGAACAGTTATTAGCGTATGGCGTGTGTTGATGTCCAGTGTTGCTGAGCAGAAACACATCATCGTGTTTCTCTCGCTCCCTCAAAGCTGTTGAGTTTTCTCCTCAGCGTAAAGATTAAGAGCTCCATCTATCACTGTTTTACATGTTCGTAGAGTTAGTTTGTGGAGTAAATATATAGGCTATAATCTGTGTGTTTACATGGCTTTTTAATAATGGCGTGTGCTGGTGTTTCGCGTGCGTTCAGCCAATCAGAGAACACTACCGTCACTGTAGTTCCTATAGCGCTGGGTTAGACCGACTCTGAAGGAGTAAATTAGTTCCGGAAACTTCCACCAATAGTTCCAGGAATATGAAAATGTTCCTCCGGTGCGAAAGCCCCTACACCCAGCGAAAGCCCCAAAAACAGCTTTGAGGGAGCGAGAGAAACATGATGATGTGTTTCTGCTCAGCAACACTGGACATCAACACACGCCATACGCTAATAACTGTTCATCACTGTCTACTTTTATGTATAACAGTTCTATATAATAACATATGAGTCAGCACTGTTAGACAGATCGTACACTAATGAACAGGAGAACGTGAGCGCTGTGAGCTCAGGCGTTCTCAGCGCCGTCAAAAAATAAAAGTCTCAACAACACGCATCTCTCACGTCACTCAGAGTTCCTACAGGCGCTGCGAACGCACCCAGGAGCACGCTCCTGAGGGAACCATCAGTTCTCGGTTATCTCCGGTGCGAAACCCCTTTAGACCGACCCTGAAGTCGGAGTAAATGAGTTCCTAGAACTAAACTCGGCTGAGTTGAGGAGCAGCCTGCGCCATCTACAGTTTCATGACAGAACTTACATGACTGTATTTATCATTCTTGGTGTGAATGGGCCTTAATCCCTAAAATAGAGTATTTTTTTTTCAATCAATGGTTTCAATCTCCCGTTTTAATGGGAAACGTGAAATCTGTCGGTCGAACAGTTTTCCAGCAGCGCATCGATATAAAGCGTCTGTGAAACTCTTGATTTGATTGATGGTCAGTGGGTTTCTGTGCATTACTGTACATTAGTCTAGTAGTTTTGACACGGATGTAATTAATACATGAATGCTATTAGACGTTGTACTAGTTTTAAACTCTCAGACGGGATCAGATTATTTTGTGCACAATTATTTAAAAAAAAAAAATGAAGTGGGCCAATCTCATGTGTTTGAGGTAATCTCATTCAATTAGCAGTTTTCCTGATGCGTTACAACATAGTAAAACACTCGAGAAGTGCAAGAAAAACAAACACACTTAGATGTGGCCTTGACTTACAGCCAACAATCTGCTGGAGGAACACACACAATTATCCTGAAGATTTGAGTTTCCTTCGCTACCCGTGAAGCGTTCCCAGAGTTCTCGTCGAGGAGTGTGTGTGTGTGTGTGTGTAATACAGGCTGAGGATGGCTTGTGTAAACACACGCGTGACCAGTGAATGACCCGTCTCGCCGCGACTCAAGAACAGTTTTCTGCAGAGACTCGTCCTGACGGGGAGCATTTGGGCCGTTTCACTGGAGAAAGATCTTTACACTCGTGAGTAATGAAACATGCGCTCCGTCGGCTCAAAGATCTGGAACACACACTACCAGGCAAACGTTTCGATCGGGGAGATTTTTAATGTTTTTAAAAGAAGTCTCTTCTGCTCACCAAGGCTGCGTTTATTTGATTTAAAAATACAAAAAAACAGTAATATTGTGAAATATTATTGTAATGTAAATCAGCTGTTTTCTATGTGAATATATAGTAAAGTGTAATTTATTCCTGTTATTTTCAGCATCATTACTCCAGTCTTCAGTGTCACATGATCCTTCAGAAATCACTCTAATATGAGGATCTGATGCTCAAGAAACATTTATGATTATTATCAGTGTTGAAAACAGTTGTGTAAAACATTTTTATCAGGATCATTTTATGAACAGAAAGTACAAAAAAAATAGCATTTATTTGTAAATGAATCTTTTGTAACATCTTACATTTCTTTACTGCATCCTTGATGAATAAAAGTATTCATTTATATTTTATTTCTTTCCCCCAAAAAATAAAATAAAGATTCTTACTGACCCAAAACTTTTGAACGGTAGTGTTTAATATTACAAAATCGTTCTATTTCAGATAAATGCTGTTCTTTTGAACTTTCTTTTCAAATAATAATTCTGAAATAAAAATGTGAATAACTGTTTTGAACATCGGAAATAATCATAAATGTGTCTTGAGCATCAGATCCTCATATTAGAGTGATTTCTGAAGGATCATGTGACACTGAAGACTGGAGTGATGATGCTGAAAATCACAGGAATAAATTACACTTTACTGTATATTCACATAGAGAACAGATGATTTACATTATAATAATATTTCACTATATTTTTTTTTGTATTTTTAAATCAAATAAACAAAGCCTTGGTGAGCAGAAGAGACTAAAACATTAAAAATCTCCCCGATGCGAAACGTCTGACTGGTAGTGTGTGTGTGTGTGTGTAGTGTTTCTACTACTGAGTTACATGAGAATTATTGAAGTGAAAAACGACGCACTTAAATTCACCCATCGATCTTCCAACAAGCCAACTTGATATTCAGATGTTTAATGTTGAACATAATACAGGCCTGATTTATAGTTCAATATCATATGAAGTTATGGAGGCCTCCGAGCGCCATGAATCATCAGATGTTTTCGTTGTGTGTATCTGGCGCTCGAGGCTCAGACGCTCCAGCTGGTGTGTGTCTGCAACAGTTATTAGCAGGCTGATAGCGCTTCTGTTTACACTGCACTGGTCCCGTACTGGCTTCACTGGTGATGTTTCACTGCGGCTTGTGACAGTTCCTCAATGTTTTATTTCCATGAGAACTCGCGTTCACGTCTGGTTTAGTGCAGAACCGGTCCATTATTCTCCCGGACGCGTTCGAGACTGCAGTCTGACTGGATCCAGAGCACAAACTCAAGCCTATTTTTAGATTTTTTTTTTTAACATTGTGAGATTATTTTCATGACAACGAAGAACATTTACAGCAAATTCTCATGACTTTCTCATTAATGGGAAAAACATATATTTAAATACTGAAGAATTAATGTACTATTACACTCTTTGTTGTACTGGGTTTATGCTGATTTAAATATTTATTTTATTTTATAAGATTTAAAAATACATTTATATTTAAAAATCTATATATTTTAAGTATTTTAGTATAACTTAAAAATAATTGTGAAAATATTATATATATATATATATATATATATATATATATATACTTTTTTACTGTATTCAAGTATTACCTGAATGTAGTAAAAAAAAATATATTTATAATATTTAAAAAGAAATAAGTATTTTATAACTTAAATACTTTAAAAGTGTTTATATACACTCACCTAAAGGATTATTAGGAACACCTGTTCAATTTCTCATTAATGCAATTATCTAATCAACCAATCACATGGCAGTTGCTTCAATGCATTTAGGGGTGTGGTCCTGGCCAAGACAATCTCCTGAACTCCAAACTGAATGTCAGAATGGGAAAGAAAGGTGATTTAAGCAATTTTGAGCGTGGCATGGTTGTTGGTGCCAGACGGGCCGGTCTGAGTATTTCACAATCTGCTCAGTTACTGGGATTTTCACGCACAACCATTTCTAGGGTTTACAAAGAATGGTGTGAAAAGGGAAAAACATCCAGTATGTGGCAGTCCTGTGGGCGAAAATGCCTTGTTGATGCAAGAGGTCAGAGGAGAATGGGCCGACTGATTCAAGCTGATAGAAGAGCAACTTTGACTGAAATAACCACTCGTTACAACCGAGGTATGCAGCAAAGCATTTGTGAAGCCACAACACGCACAACCTTGAGGCGGATGGGCTACAACAGCAGAAGACCCCACCGGGTACCACTCATCTCCACTACAAATAGGAAAAAGAGGCTACAATTTGCAAGAGCTCACCAAAGTTGGACAGTTGAAGACTGGAAAAATGTTGCCTGGTCTGATGAGTCTCGATTTCTGTTGAGACATTCAGATGTTAGAGTCAGAATTTGGCGTAAACAGAATGAGAACATGGATCCATCATGCCTTGTTACCACTGTGCAGGCTGGTGGTGGTGGTGTAATGGTGTGTGGGATGTTTTCTTGGCACACTTTAGGCCCCTTAGTGCCAATTGGGCATCGTTTAAATGCCACGGCCGACCTGAGCATTGTTTCTGACCATGTCCATCCCTTTATGGCCACCATGTACCCATCCTCTGATGGCTACTTCCGGCAGGATTATGCACCATGTCACAAAGCTCGAATCATTTCAAATTGGTTTCTTGAACATGACAATGAGTTCACTGTACTAAAATGGCCCCCACAGTCACCAGATCTCAACCCAATAGAGCATCTTTGGGATGTGGTGGAACGGGAGCTTCGTGCCCTGGATGTGCATCCCACAAATCTCCATCAACTGCAAGATGCTATCCTATCAATATGGGCCAACATTTCTAAAGAATGCTTTCAGCACCTTGTTGAATCAATGCCACGTAGAATTAAGGCAGTTCTGAAGGCGAAAGGGGGTCAAACACAGTATTAGTATGGTGATCCTAATAATCCTAAAGGTGAGTGTAAGTTTATAATAGTTGTACAATTATTGTAAAGTATTTTTAGTGCAACTTTAATGTAGTATTTTATACATTTATTATTTTTAGAATAACTTGAATATAGTAAAAAAGTATATATTTATAATTCTTAAAACATATTTTAAAGTATTTTAGTATAACCTGAAAAGTTAAAATGTTTGAATATATTTATAATATTTTACAAATATCTTTGAAGTATTTTAGTATAACTTGAATATCTAAAATAGTTTTTATATACATTTATAATATTTGTAAAAAAAAAAAACTATTTTAAAGTACTTGTAGTATAACTTAGATACTTTAAAAAATATAAAATGTATAATAAAAAAATACTACATTCAAGTTGTACTAAAAAAATTATTTAAAAGTCTTAATATATTTATAATATTTGTATTTTTAGAATAACTTGAATAGTAAAACATTTGTATATTTATAATATTTAAAACATATTTTTAAGAATTGTAGTATAACTTGAATACAGTGTTTTTTATTACACATTTATAATATGTTTAAAGTATTTTTAGTATAACTTGAATACAAAAAAAATACAATTGTGACTCAGGCTCTCAAGTGTCACGCATTGAGTGTGACAGTCACTCATTTCGGTCTTTTGCCACGCACTCCCGCCACACATTGCATTTCTCACGCTGAAAAACTATTTATAATATATTTAATATGCCGCAGCGCCCAAAATTTCCCTATGGAACCGGAAGGAATCAAGCGCGTCTGCCCTGGCGTTCTTACTCGAGCCGCCACTTATTAGCCAATCAGAAAAAAGAAAGGGGTTACACAATAGCCAATCAGAAAATAGCACTATTGTATCTGGGTAAGATTCAAGATAAGTCATGATCTCCTGTTTTAATGTTACAAAAAATTCACAACTTGTTTGACACAAACAATGACAACTTGAACGTTTCCCAGATAATTAGCATCAGTTATTCATGAGTGTCTGTACCTTAGCCAACAGTTTCACAGCCTGTTCCCTGACAACACCTGCTCAAGTACTCTAGGCCGAGTCATATTTTCATTATCACACGAGGACTGACATATTGTCACATTATAAACATCTCTCTCTCCAAATAGGACCAAATATACAATTTTATAAGCACTAAATAAATTAAAGTGTATTGCATTTAGGCCTGTCACGATAACAAATTTTGCTGGACGATAAATTGTCCAAGAAATTATTGCGATAAACGATAATATTGTCGTTCCGAGACCATTTACATCTAAAATAATGATAATGGCATAATAATGCAGGTACACCTTTTTAAAGATCAATAAACTTTTATTTCTAAAGACTATTTAACACTGAAAATGGAAACATTTTAAATATCCACAATAAATGAACAAAACAACCAAAAACAATAAAAGCAATGTCTCTGCTAACAAAAAATGCACTTGAATAAATACCAAAAACAATAAATAAAATGGATGTAAACAAAACCCGACCCTACCCTAAATGATTTGTTATTAAAGCATTAACACACAAACCAGTGTTAATTTAACATAAAAGCAAGCAGCTACTGCGTGCATGGTTTGGCATGAATGAATGTGCGCAAAGTGCGCTCGCTTAATAATTCCTAAAAAGCAGACAGTTCATCGCGATCTCACACATCTCTGTTATTATCAATGAAGCTGACTGCACAATAAATCTTTCATAATATCCACACTTTGTTTGTTATAATTCGAGGATTTGCCAGCATACAGAATTCAGCACTGAACAAAAAGTCAGTTTTGAGCGGTGAGGGGAGTCTATCTTAAATGCTTCTGATTGGCCATTGCGTTCAAGAAGTCAACACATATGTCTGTGATTGGCTACATCGCTCATCGCTGCAAACATGTTATGAATAGAAACTCTGGCCTGTAAATCGTTTTGTTTTAGTTGTTCTTGATGCTTTTCTGCAACAAATGAATAAAAATCTATTCGTTTTTATATGTTTTATTCATAGATATTTCTAGTTTGCGGGAGTCCCGCGAATCGTTTTATTCTCCCGCAGCCCGCACACACAGAGTGAGTGCATAACCGCCCGCGCCCGGCCATCAAATCTAGTGCCGCGCCGTACTCTATTGCGTTGGGAGTGCACGTCTCTAGATCAAGGGCCCGGCCCGAGGATAGTGTCGGGCCGGGTCGGGTCAAGTTCGGGCTCGGGCAGAGAATCTAAGCTCTAGTTCATGCTAAGAAACCGAGAGTTGTCATCCAGTCTCTTTGGTAGAGAGAGAGAGAGAGAGAGACACGAGGAAAACAAACAAGCATGCAAATGGAAATTATCGCGTCCGTAAAAATAATCGAGCTTATTTTTTTTATCGTGCGATTAATTGATTTATCGACTATCGCGACAGGCCTAATTGCATTGTCGATGTTATACGTCACCTCTAAAATCAAGTCATATTTTATAATTATATCCGGGCCATGGATGCATTAATCATTGCATCTGTCTTTCACTGATGTCAGGTAAAAAGCAATTAAGCCTCCTCTCGTTCGCTCTGAGAGGAAAGCCCCCTAAAAAGGCCAGGTTAGAGGATGCCGGCCCAGAGAAGGGTACAGGCCCATTAGAGCAAGTCTGAGCAATTATTAATAACAACAAAAACGCTAATAATAATATTACTAATATAATGAAACACCACCATTCCCGCGACCTGTCCAACCCATCCCTGTCCAACCCATCCTGAGATAGTGTTCATGTATCATTTACAGCCGTGTCGAAGCTACTGGAGTAAAGTACCTCATCATCAGTGTGTTTACAGGTGTGTTACCCGTTTAAACCTGACCATTATCATCATCATGTGTTTACAGGTGTGTTACCTCATCATCACAGTGTTAACAGGTGTGTTACCTGCTTAAACCTGGCCAGCTCCTTCAGGGCTCGACCCCACTGCTGCTTATAGTGGAGTTTAGATTTAGTTGCCGATTCCAGTTTCCTCTCCAGTTCCACCTTGATAATAAAAACATATGAGCAGATCCTCAAAACAGACGCTGTATATACATATATGTGGTGTGTTGATCAGTGCGGTGGGTGTGTGTGTGTGTGTGTGTTGATCAGTGGTGTGTGTGTGTTGATCAGTGGTGTGTGTGTGTGTGTGTGTTGATCAGTGGTGTGTGTGTGTTGATCAGTGGTGTGTGTGTGTGTGTGTGTGTTGATCAGTGGTGTGTGTGTGTGTGTTGATCAGTGGTGTGTGTGTGTGTTGATCAGTGGTGTGTGTGTGTGTGTGTGTGTGTGTTGATCAGTGGTGTGTGTGTGTGTGTGTGTGTGTTGATCAGTGGTGTGTGTGTGTGTGTGTGTGTTGATCAGTGGTGTGTGTGTGTGTGTTGATCAGTGGTGTGTGTGTGTGTGTGTGTGTGTGTGTGTGTTGATCAGTGCTGTGTGTGTGTTGATCAGTGGTGTGTGTTGATCAGTGGTGTGTGTGTGTGTGTTGATCAGTGGTGTGTGTGTGTTGATCAGTGGTGTGTGTGTGTTGATCAGTGGTGTGTGTGTGTGTGTGTTGATCAGTGTTGTGTGTGTGTGTGTGTTGATCAGTGTTGTGTGTGTGTGTGTGTGTGTTGATCAGTGGTGTGTGTGTGTGTGTGTTGATCAGTGGTGTGTGTGTGTGTGTGTGTTGATCAGTGGTGTGTGTGTGTGTGTGTGTTGATCAGTGGTGTGTGTGTGTGTGTGTGTTGATCAGTGGTGTGTGTGTGTGTGTGTGTGTTGATCAGTGGTGTGTGTGTGTGTGTGTGTTGATCAGTGGTGTGTGTGTGTGTGTTGATCAGTGGTGTGTGTGTTGATCAGTGGTGTGTGTGTGTGTGTGTTGATCAGTGGTGTGTGTGTGTGTTGATCAGTGGTGTGTGTGTTGATCAGTGGTGTGTGTGTGTGTGTGTTGATCAGTGGTGTGTGTGTGTGTGTGTGTTGATCAGTGGTGTGTGTGTGTGTGTTGATCAGTGGTGTGTGTGTGTGTGTTGATCAGTGGTGTGTGTGTGTGTGTGTGTGTTGATCAGTGGTGTGTGTGTGTGTGTGTGTGTGTTGATCAGTGGTGTGTGTGTGTGTGTGTGTGTGTGTTGATCAGTGGTGTGTGTGTGTGTGTTGATCAGTGGTGTGTGTGTGTGTGTTGATCAGTGGTGTGTGTGTGTGTGTTGATCAGTGGTGTGTGTGTGTGTGTTGATCAATGGTGTGTGTGTGTGTTGATCAGTGGTGTGTGTGTCTGACCTTCTCGAGGGTCATCAGGTTGATCTCGGACTGCAGACGGGCCTCGGGACGAACGCTCTGCTGATCCCGGAACTGCTGGAACTCCTTCTCCAGACGCTGCCGTTGATTCTCAGACTCTTGCATCTTTAAGAGTGAAAACAACATGATCATTGAGCAAAAGACAAAATGATCATCCAAGTTAACCCTGTAAAGCTTGACATATAGTCCAAAACATCTTATTTCTTAACCTTAATAAATAAATGTATAATTTTTGTTTTTTTATCATATTTAATACATCAAGATTTTATGGCTCATATTGTTTGATATAGTGAGAATATGGAGGAAAAAACATCTCAGTTATGTTCAGAGGAATAATATGCAAAAATAGTAACGATAAAAATTATATATATAAATATATTATATAAATATTATTAAATTATATTTAAATGCTGGATGATCAAAGATCTGTAGTTTTAAAGTCCCCCTGTGGAGAAAATCCAGCGTTTAATGTTGTTTATGTGTCTATGTGGTGTGTTTAATACGCTTTAAGACACACCATGTGTAAGTTCATAAGTCGACAGCATTGCTGAGTATTTCCTCCTTAAAACTGCAGTGAACCAAAGACAGTCTCAAAAACACGGTTTGAAATCGCTGGTGTTTCTGACGTCACAAACGACCTTGTAACCAATCAGATCAACGTGTGATCGTCAACCAGTGGATCTCTGAGCTGAGTGAGTGAGTGGAGGCGGGGCTCATTTGCATATTCATAGAACCACACATACTAAATGAGGCGAGGGTGTCGGGTTACATTCAAGATATTTCAAGGAAAAAACACTTAAATATGTCATTTTGGTGATCAAAGATGAGTATTAAGGGATAAAATTATTAATTACAATGTGATACAATACAATGATGATTGAGAGATAAACAAATAAACCTTCCTCAAAAGTGTGATTTTCTAAAAAATGATGTCTATTACTGTATAATCAAGTAAAGTTGCTTCAGTTGGGTTAAAAGATCACTAACAATATGAAAGTTATTAATGCGTTTGCTTGATTACATCAGGTCAGTGACACAGAAAGACGATCTCAGAAAGAGTGTAGATGATCAGACACAGACGGACTGCAGGAGATCGAGTGCGACGGGTTCATCAGAGACCGTAGAAATGTGTGTATTAAATATAATACAGCAGCTTTATAGGGTTCAGTCGCTAAAATCTGATGAAATACTCAGACACTATTCACAGGCTCACTTCTCACATTCAGCTCTGAGGTGAAGCAACACCGTTTAAACTGTGTGTGTGTGTGTGTGTGTGTGTGTGTGTGTGTGTGTGTGTGTGTGTGTGTGTGTGTAACACGTCTCCGCAGAGCAGCGCATCCATCAGCTCGCGAGCGGCTACCGCTGAAACACTTCAAGAGTGTTAGACAGCGTCCAGTCCAACTAAAACCTTACAAGCGCTCTCCATCCTCCCGCTCGTCTGACAGAAGGCAGACGCTGCCAGACCTGACACTGGTGTTCGCAAACGAGCAGATCGTGTCCAGAAAGAGGAGGATTCTGCCCGGATAAACCGGTTAGTGTGTGTCGACGCGGGACAAATGTATGTTTACGCGTTGCTGACACCAGAGGGAAGGCGGTGTACGCGCCGAAGCGCTCTCATCTCCGCTTTCGCATGTCAGAAACCTACTTTGCTTGATTTGTTAGCGCTGTGCCGGGCCAGATGTTTTCTGGGAGGAATGAGACGGCAGGCTGCAGTATTTCAGGAGCCGGCTGTCGGAGCGAAGCGCTGGAGGAAACAGACGCTGGATCTCACCACAGAAAACTCAGCTTTCCGTCTGGTGATTAATTACATCAGTGATAACGAGGACTTCTGGGAACATTCGACACAGAGATGCCAATAACAAACAGTCACTATCATCTTAGAAAACAGATTAAAAATCTTTCCTATTCAAAACTTTTGACTGGTAGTGTGTGTGTGTGTGTGTGTATGTGTGTGTGTGTTTATGTGTGCGTATGTGTGTGTGTGTGTGTGTGTATGTGTGTGTGTGTGTGTGTGTGTGTGTGTGTGTGTGTGTGTATGTGTGTGTTTATGTGTGTGTGTGTGTGTATGTGTGTGTATGTGTGTGTTTATGTGTGTTTATGTGTGCGTATGTGTGTGTGTGTGTGTATGTGTGTGTTTATGTGTGTGTATGTGTGTGTGTGTGTGTGTATGTTTATGTGTGTGTATGTGTATGTGTGTGTGTGTATGTGTGTGTATGTGTGTGTGTGTGTGTGTGTATGTGTGTGTTTATGTGTGTGTATGTGTATGTGTGTGTGTGTGTGTGTGTGTGTGTGTGTGTGCGTATATACACACACACACACACACACTACCAGTCAAAAGTTTTGGATCGTTAAGATTTTTAATATTTTTAAAAGAAGTCTCTTCTGCTCAACAAGGCTGCGTTTATTTGATTAAAAATACAAAAATATATATTGTTAAATATCATGACAATTTAAAATATTAATATACAGTAAAGTGTAATTTATTCCTGTTATTTTCAGCATCATTACTCCAGTCTTCAGTGTCACATGATCCTTCAGAAATCACTCTAATATGAGGATCTGATGCTCAAGAAACATTTATGATTATTAGCAGTGTTCAAAACAGTTGTTTACATTTTTATTTTAGGATTAGTTGATAAAAAGAACGTGTTTGAGCATCAAAACCGCATATTAGAATGATTTCCGATCACAGGAATAGATTACATTTTAAAATAGAAAACGGTTATTTTAAATTGTCATAATATTTAACTATAATACAATTTTTTTTTTGGTATTTTTAATCAAATAAATGCAGCGTTAGTGAACAGAAGAGACTTCTTTTAAAAACATTAAATTCTTACCGATCCAAAACTGGTAGTGTGTGTGTGTGTGTGTAGCAATAAATTAAAGTGCGTCTTCAATAGAGAAAAAACACATAATAAAACAAAAACGCTGCAAAATATGATGATGCAACATGTGATGCTGCCATTTTCACATTTCATTTTAGCCACGACAGTCAGAATAGATTTAGTTGTAATTATGGAGGAGCTTTTTTGCAACTTTTTTGCCTAAAGCCCCCAAAATTTTCTGACCCTTCTGGCAACATATGAAAGTGCGTCTTCAAAACCAGATTCAAACCCAACTTTACAATGTTTTCAAGAAACGCAGACACAGATTTCAGATCAGCGCACAAAACGTTCATATATTATTAGGGATGCGCCGATACCGATAATTCTTTATATTTGAAAGCCGATAATCGATATATTGCCCGATAATGGTAATTTGGATTTAGTTTAATTTTTAAAATAATTTTTGAGAGCCTGATTACAAAAACAAAAGTCTCACCATTAAATCCATGTTCCAAGCACACAATGTTCTCATCATAATTTTATCTATCCGATATGATAGAACATTTTGCCCTTATGGTATTTTCCTTTTTTTAAGTGATTCCAATCCTATTTCAAGCAATTCAAAACCATCACGGTGAACATGGTCACACAGTCACATGACCAGACCAATGAGTCACATGACTAGCACAATATTACTGGCTTTACTTCAGACTTTCAGATGAGGGTTAGGGTTCTGATCTTACTTTTCTTCCCGCCACACATGCAGAATATTTTATGATGCGAAATTATTGTAAACACAGTCAGTTATGTGTAATGTAATTGAGTCCCTCCCTCGTCTGGCTTATGCTACTCTGTGTCTGAAACTGTATTTTGAGCACTTCTTTGCATTGTTTGACTTTATGACGACTCGCTTGCCGTATTCCTCATTTGTAAGTCGCTTTGGACTTAAGCGACACATCAAGAAGAAGGTCCACACACACACACACACACACTGACTAAATGTAACAACACGTCACTTCTCAGATATTACAAGACTGACAAGCGCCGATCCAGCCTGTAAAGCTCAAGATCACACCTCTGTATCACTAGATTACCAGTAAACCACTTCACTTAAGAAAGGGTGTATTAGCGAGTGTTGACATCAGTCAGTGATCCAGCAGGCGTGACCTCTTGACCTCACGACCCCAGGGGTCACCAGGCCCCTCCCAGCTCACGCTTCCAGAAGGGCACAGGTCGTGTCGGGTGTGTTTGCTGCGTTCACCTGCTGTCGCTGCCGGGTCAGCTGATCCTCGAGCTGCCTGACCTTTGACCTCTCCAGCTCCACCTGGTGGTCACAGTCCTCTCGCAGGCGCCGGCTGCTGTCCTGAAGCTCTCGCATGCTGAACTCGTGTTCGGATCGCATCTCACGCTGGAGTCTCTGTGTCTAAACCAGCACAGCCACAGTCAGACACCAGTTCCCCAGGTTAGCATGCTAGCCGCCAGCGCCGCCTCACCTCGGTCTCCGCGTGAGCCAGCGCCTTCTCCCTCTTCTCCAGGTCAGACAGGGTTCTCTGAAGCTGCTCCTCCAGAAGACTGTACTCCACTTCCTAGGAAACAGCAGCTCATAAAGCTCAGTGAGACCACACTGCTACAGATCCCCATTCAAAGCGTTTCATTCCGGCCATTATCTGCTCTCCGTCACGATTACCCAGTTAGTGTGCGGCCGAGAAATCAGCAAAGCCGATATTGAGCATTTTTGTAATTATCGTCATCGAAAGCAGGACTTTTATTCTGACAGCACTGAGAACGCATTCTCCATCTTGGCTCGTTTACT